AAAGGAGGGCAATGACAATAAGTGCAAAAGATTAGTTGAAGAGATAGCTTTTCGGTAGTATTTAAAGACAGATATAGGGGGGACAGGGGACGATATAGAAAGATAGAAAGGAGTTCTAGAGGTTATGGACATAATAGCTGAAGGCGAGGCCACCAATGTTTCCATCCTAATAAGTCACTGCATTTGTTTCAAAAAAAGCAATTTTTGGCAAAACTCTGAATCAAGGTTCGTTAAGCTCCAGGTCTGAATTTCTGGACTAATAACTGATAATATTGAAACCAATGCATATCATTAATGATCATAAAATAATTTCAGAATGTGTTAAAACACAGCAAAAAAACCCAAAGCTTCTAGTAGCCATTTCTCAAAGGTGTTTTAGCACCTCATGTTAGCTGCGTAGAATTATGACAGTTTACAACTACTATTCAGAATCAGAAGAAAATGTTAAATTAAAACCCTACAGCAGAAAGCACAGCACTACAAAGGTGAGTTAGCAACAGATCGATGTGTAATATAATAGTGTTCCCGGGTATAGTGTGATCTACAAGGTTCCTGCTCGTGCATATACTGTATTGTAATATTGGGATTTTATAAGAGGATTCTTTCCAATCTCAGCTGATGAAACTGAATACTTGTGTGGACTTCAGCAGCAGCAGACTAAGGAAACAATGTATCCAGTGATGTGAACTGATTTAGTTAGTTGCTTTGCGGTTACTAAAGCAACAAACTGCATTTTCTGGAGTTTGGCATATTCTTTAATTGCTTCTCAAACTTAACTTGGTTCCCACAATACACATTATTGTGTAACAGCAGCACTCAGGCTGCTGCATATTGCTTCTTTTGGCCCTTGACTATGATCATCAGCAAGAGAGGGTGACCCTTTACTTAAGTACCTGAGCATTCATTAAGAAAGTTATTCTAACTTTCCAGACACTCTAAAAATTAATAAAGAAGGGTAATAAAGTCTGGTGATGTGCCAACAACACTTTTATTTGCCTGACACAGAGATTGATTCAGCTCTCAATAACACCATTTATCTGCTCTAGGAGAATTTCCCCCCGCAAGATTTGACTCACCTCTTCAACCTGGATGTGATTGCAGCCGAGAATAATGGGATAAAACTCGCTCCCTCTTCAAGAGGTCCTCAATAAAATAGGTTCAGAAATGGTCAACCAAGTTCCACAGTGCAATTCCGTCCACAATTCACCACATACTTACACTAAATTTGCAATCTCTCTCAGAGATTATACGTATTATTGAAACTTTCACATTTAGGAAGTGCAAGGTTTATTTGGGTTAAAGCACATTGTTAGAATAGAGAATTGGAAGGTTTACCTTGCCGGTGGCCACACTATGTCTGCCCCCCAAATGCTTAATGCTGACAATGAGTGTCAAAAATATTATCAGCATTGTCTAAACTTCTACTCAATGAATATAAACAGAATTGTTTTAGACACCTCCAAAGAAGAAACACCTTGTTTCTACATTCAACAACTTGCACTTATATTGCATCTTCCATGTAGGGAAAAATTTCAAAGCGCTTTATAGAGACAGAGTGGAAACCTGAGCATAGTGGAAAGGTTTGGAGGGAGTTGACCAATGGTACAATCAAATAGGTAGATTTTTAGGAAGGTTAATAAGGAAGAAAAGGAAGGAGTTTTAGAGAGTCGGGGCATAGTGGCTAAAAGCTCAGTCACAAATAGGGGTAGGGGGGAAGATTTCAGCAGCCTGATTTTGAATAGCCAGACTCTTTGAGGAAACCCACATCAATAAAGCAATAGAGTAGTGACATGATCCTCATTAAGATTCCTATATAACAAGTTAAAAGTGAAAAAGAAGTTTTGTTCTGGGTCATATCTTGTTATAATTTATACTTGTATTGCCTCTTATATCTATGGAGTAAACGGATGTGACCCCCAACCATCCCCCCCCCCCCCCCCCAACTCCCAAAAGACTTTGGCACAATGGTTGAGCCTGATGATGGTTCCAAGAGTATAAGTGATTTCCTGTGAGCAGCCTCGACTGCTGAGGCTGACCTCGTACAACACAGTTTTTGCGTTGCTCTCAGGGCTGGGTATCTTGAATTGACAGTGAAATACTATGATCAAGAATAATGTCAGCAGTGAAGTCTTTATGCATTGTGCTGAAGTCAGGAAAGATAATAATACTAATAATCCTTGCATTTGATATAGCACTTTTCACGTCTTCTAGACGTCTCAAAGCGCTTCACAGAAATATACTGTGAATTGACTGTATATTTTGTGGGCGAAACTCGGCAGCCAATTGCGCACAGCAGTGTCCCACAAACAGTCATGGATTGAAGTGACCAAATTATTATTTTTTTTGGTTGAGGGATTATTATCAGGCATGTGGAGTAAGGAAACTTGCCCAAGGTTTCGCCCTGTCGGGAATCGAACCCAGGTCTCTCACGCCTATGGCTACTCTAAAGTAATAAAAGGATACGTTTCTTGACAGTTTCAATAATACATTGTTCTGTTGAGAAATATCTTATTTTGCACTCCATTATGGCATTAGTTTCAGTGATTACATTGTTCACAGTGCCCGCACACAAAACCTGGTACTGCTCTATGGCAATATTGGAAAGATCCTTCAAAAGTATCTGAATTCTTCAACATTAAGCTCCTAAACAAAAGCGCCCACCTGCACAAAAAGGCAAAACTGTAGTGCAACCGACAACTGTAGTGCATTGTGTACACCAATAAAACAGGATGAAGAAAAAGTAAATATAACTGCAACTATCTGAATATGTCTGAAACACACCAGACATGTTTGTGGAAGTCACTTGATTTTCAGCTCTAACTATACCCACGCAGTGAAATTCAGATCACAAACATAGTAAATAAATAGATTTATCCCTTTAACTTACAATGAGATCAAAGATCTACAGTAAATATAAATTGTTATGTAAAGCAAATGGAATTTAGACTTTTACTTGGAATAATTTTCTCAATAATAAAATATCTTCTGAAACAGATATGCAGCTTGGTTGGAGGAGACTTCAATATTTTGTTTATTTTTTCCCAGGAGAAATGGTCTAAACTGACATTTAACAAATTTGTCTAATATTTTTATTCTACCTCCCAGTAAGCCACAATGACCTAATTTCTGAAAACCCAACTGGCTTATCACATGGAAAAGTTGTGCAATTCTGTCTCCTGCTGGGCATTTTCATCAACACAAAGAATTATTAGAATAATGCAATCCAGTCCAATGCTGGGGAGCACTGCATTGTCAAGATGCCACTTTTGAGATGAGATATTTAACTGATGTCCTACCTAACTATTCATGTGATCCCATATGAAACAATTTGAAATAAACAAGTGAGTTTTCTCTATTGTCTTCCAGATAAATTGGTCATTCACTTGAGTGCTGTTTTTGGGGACTTTGCTGAACACAAACTGGCTGCTGAATTTATAATAATAATAAGCCTTGCATTCGATACAATGCCTTATCATTTGGTTGAGATATCTCAAAGCACTTCGCAGAATATACTGCAAAGTGGGGTAACTGTGCATTTTGTGGGCAAACATGGCAGCCAATTTGCACACAGCAATGTCCCACAAACAGCCACAGAGCGAATGACCAATGTTATTTGTGGTTAGTTGGCCAGGACTCCAGGAGAAATTCCCTTCTCTTTTCTATCCATGGGATTTTGCACCTGAACAGATGGGACTTCACTTTAACATCTCCTACAAATATACAGTCCTTACACGTTACTATTAATAACAATAATAATCCTTGCATTTGATTACTTCTTTGTGATGTCTCAAAGCGCTTCACAGAATATACTGTAAAATGAATTGACTGTACGTTTTGTGGGCGAAACACGGCAACCAATTGCACACAGCAGTATCCCACAAATAATTATGGATTGAGTGACCAAATTATTATTATTTATTTATTTCAAGATCGATTTCAAGATCCTCTCACTTGTTTTCAAATCCTTGCACCTCCCTACCTATCCGACCTGCTTACCCCAACTCCACCACCGTCTGCCTCCGCTCGGTTGGCTCCGGCCTCCTGTTTGTCCCTCGTGCCCTCCATTCAACTATCGGTGGCTGTTCCTTCAGACACTATGCCCCGAAACTCTGGAACTCTCTCCCTCAATCCCTCCGCTTTGCCCCCTGCCTCCTCACCTTCAAATCCCACCTAAAGACCTTCCTTTTAGATCGTGCTTACGGTCAGTTCCCCCTCCCTCTCCCCCTGGCTCGTTGTCAGACTCCTTCAGTCAAGCGCTCCGGGACATTACTCCGCATGTGGGCGCTATATAAATGCAAGTTGTTGTTGTTACTTGAAGGGATTATTACCCACGGAAAAGCAATCCGCCAATCGAGTAACAAGCAGGTTTCAATTACTGCTAGTTGAACAGAGGTGTGTGGAGTAAGGAAACTTGCCCAACGTTTCACCCTGCCCGGGAATCGAACCTAGGTCCTCTTGCTTGTGAGGCGAGTGGTCTAATCACTAAACTACAGGATTCTATCGTGTGCAAAGCACTTTGAAATGCTTCACATTATGGGTGCTATATTAAATGCAAGGATTATAACAAACTGAATGTAAAAATAAGAATGTTTTTTGGAATAAAATTTTATAATATTTTCCATAAACAAACCCACAGCCCTATCTCATGCTGTTGGAAACTGACCCAGTGTACACTGAAAGCTTCAGCTGAATCTGTATTTTCTTCAAGACATCCTTTTGCATAAGTCAACATCCATAATACAATTCAAATTTACATTTATATGGTGCCTTTCACGGTGGGAAGATGTCCCAAGGCTCTAAAAGTATGAAGAGATTATTCCTTTGTCTTAAAACTTGTTTTCTTCATTTTCTAACCATGCTGTCTGGCTCTCATCTTGCATATAACACATCTTTATATTTACCTAACCTATTCCTTTTATTATTTTAACAACTGATCACATTCACTCCTTCCCTCCCCCTCCATCATCATCTTTACAGTGAAACAGACTTGGTTCTTTTACCTGATCTTTGTTGTTAAATAGTTGGATAGAGGTCATCTTTGTTGGCCTGCTCTGAATCCTTTCTGATCTGACTCTGCACGGGGTGAATCTGTTGGAGGTGTCGAAGAGCAAGTATGTTTTGTGCTGATGCTGTTTACACTAAACATAAACATGTGGGAACTTGAAAGTAGGGACAGATGAAACGTTGGCTAAGCTTGTCGAAGTTAACAATCTGAGTGGAATTAATACTAAAGGGAACAAGCAAACTGAATAGTTTAGGGTGCTGATCAGGGAAGTATCTGATGTCCTTAATTTAGATAAATGTAAAACTGATGAGATTGGGCAGATTACGACTACATATTAAATATAAGAAGCCAACAAGACACAACCCAAAAGAACTGTCTTGAGAGGACTGGTAGATAACTAAGTGAAGATAGCCACAAAATGCGCAGCAATGGTGTATTAAAAAGCAAACCAGATTCTCGGGTGTAGCTGGAGAGATAGACACAAAAAGAGTGATCTTGTCAAAGCAGTAGCCCAGCTATACCAGGTGCACTGAGTACAACTCCTGCCTCTACAATACGAGCATCCTAGTATTCGATAGAGTGCAGTACTTGGTAGACAAATTATTGCTGTGTGGAATTGGGCATCACTCACACACAAGGAGAAACTGTGAAAACCGTGAATATTTACTCTGACAAAAAGATTAAGAATAACCTATTAAGCTTTATTGACCAATAATACGCTCGATTCGAGAAGCTCACAATAAAAGATCACACTCTGAAGCTCAGAAAGGAGGGGTGAGAGTTTTGATTTAAAAACTGAGCTAATGGTTTAGCACTATGGCACTATAATCCACTATAATCCAGATAATCCATTATCTGGAACTCCAATGCAATGCTGGGTGAGTGCTCCACTGACTAAGGTGCCACCACTTCAGATGAGACGTTAACCTGAGGCCCTGTCTGCCTGTTCTACTGTATGTTTAAAGATCCCGTGGAATGATTCAAAAAGAGAGGGGAGTTTCTCCTGGTATCCTGGCCAATAATTCCTCAGATAAAAAATAGGTCATTCACCTCATGGCGATTTGTGGGATATGGCTGTGTGCTGCTTTCACTTACAAATGCAGTCACTACGGGAACTCGGTGAAGCACTTTGAGACATGATAAGGTACTATATACAAGGATCATTATTATTATTATGAGTGATCTCTAGCACCTGAATAGGCATAGCACTTTGGTTCAAAATCTCATCCAAAGGACAGCACCTCCAAATGGCATGCACCCCTCGCACTGCATTGGATTGTCAGCCTAGACTTGTGAGTTTAAAGTCCTGACTCCGACGCAAGAATGCTACCAACTGAACTGGGCTGATATGTTAATTAGATAGATGATGGAGATTATATGGGGGTGTAGGGGTGCAGAGGAAGGGATATGAGAAATAGTAAATAATGAGATCACCCAGACAAGCTTAATGTTCTTTTCCTGTCTTGTACATTCCTGAGTCTTTGGATTTCATCCTTGAGCATAGAAGTGTTTAGTTGATGTGTCGGTATTGCCAGCAACCATAGACTAGACTCCAGACTGTTCTCATATGTATATCAAAAGAAGAATTCTCTCTCAGAAGTCAAAATGGAACACAGAAATCTGGAGAATATTGACCTGGAATCACCCAATTTAAACTGAAGAGATGCTAGAGTAACAAGATTTTCCCAGAATTCTGTCCCTTGTGTCCGGGGCATAGATAATCCATTAAATATTATGCTTTAAGGGAATGGTCGCTGGAACACGAATAAGAGCATTCCTCTGCCCCTCCTAAACATGATTGTAAGATGGAACTGTTATGATTTTCTTGTTGGAAAGCGGATGAATATATATATTGATTATCCAACAAGAATAACCATTATAAACTTTTTCAATCAATCTTAGCCTTTTATGCTGTTTCTTTTGTCTACCCGACAAATATTAATTTAAAGATGTTACCTCAGAGAAAGTCTCCATCTGCTGTGCTATATACAGTATCAACAACCTGCGTGGTATGGAATGCATCAGTCCAAAAAATAAATTTATTGGGCTGACAAGAAGCAAGAACATTACTGCGATTGCAAGTTATAAGGAGAGGAATAGACAGATGATCAGACACTACGTAACACTATTTCTTGTTCTGCTTGAACAAGGAAATGTTCCTTTATGAAGGAATGTATCCCTAGATGAACCCTTATGTCAGGGTTCAAGATTGGAAACATGGGTATTGGAAATATGGTATGAATAGATATTCTAGTGTTTTGCTTTGGAGAGTTTTTATACACAGATTAATAACTTGAATCTATAATAGAGGATATTGTACATGTGAAGTGGAAGGAGAAAGCTTAATAAAGCCTTTGTTTCGGTCTGAGCTCTTTACTACAACAACAAGATTCCATTTATAGAGCGCCTTTCACGTCGGGAGGATGTCCCAAGGCACTGGACAGTTGGGTCAGGACCCGAGCATTGGGGGGGAAATGGTCAGGGTGAGAGGAGGGAAGGGAGGGAGCGAGGAGGGGTAGAGTCGAGAGGGGAGCTGAAGGCACGGTCAAAGAGAAAGGTCTTGAGACCGGCCTTGAAGGAGGAAAGGGATGAGGCGGCGAAGGCACTGGGGGATAGAGTTCCAGAGCCTCGGGGCTGAGAGGCTGAAGGCCCGGCCACCGATGGTTGGGCGGTTGGGGCGGGGGATGTGGAGCAGACCGGAGCCAGAGGAACGGAGGGTACGGGCAGGTAGGTAGGGAGATAGTAGGTCGGAGAGGTAGGAGGGAACAAGGCTGTGAATGGCCTTGTAGGTGAGGATCTTGAATTTGATCCTCTGGGGGATGGGGAGCCAGTGGAGGTGAGCGAGGGTGGGAGTGATGTGGTCGCGAAGCCTGGTGCGGGACAGTACACGAGCTGCAGAGTTCTGAATGACCTGCAGTGTGGAGGGAGGTGGCGGGAAGGCCGGCGAGGAGAGAGTTCCCATAGTCCAGCCTTGAGGTGACACAGGTGTGGACCAGGGTTTCAGCAGCGTGAGGGGTGAGGTAGTGCCGTAGTCTGGCGATGTTTTGGAGGTGATGGAAGGCGGTGCCAGTTGTGGTGCGGATATGGGGGAGAAAGGACAGCTCAGGGTCGAACAGAACCCCGAGGTTCCTGACCGGCTTTGAGAGGTGGAGAGTGCAGCCTTGGATGCTGATGCTGTCAGCGCCTGAGGTGCGGAGGCACTGACGTGAGCCAATCAGGAGGGCCTCAGTTTTGTGCACGTTGAGCTGAAGAAAGTTGTCTCTCGTCCAGGACTCGATGTCGGACAGGCAGCTGTCAGGACATCGGTGGTCATGGAGTTGAGGGTAGAGGAGGAAAGGTAGAGTTGGGTGTCATCCGCATACATGTGTAGTGTGAGCTGAGGAGAAAAACATCAGTCACCAATCTCCAAACTGCTCTTGCACACCGCCATATAGCTGGGAATAGAACACTGTTGGTAAATAGCTGGAGGTACATTCCTCTCCACCATTTCATGGGTCAAAAGGGGGAGAAAAGTGGGGAGAGGAGAAAAGTAGGGAGAAGGGAAGAGTGGGGAAAGGAGGGCAAAAATGACGAGAGGGTGATTTTTGTTAAAAAAAATTGGGTCAGAAACAATCATAAAAGAAAAGGGAACAATACATCCCAAACATTCACTGTAGGTTGCAGCTCATGCTCTTTATCTAAAGGATTATTATTATTATAATACTTATCTGTTAGGTAAGTTCTAGGTAACAGGATTCAGCTCACAATTGAGATTCCAACCATTATAAACTGTATAAATATGAGAGCTGATCACAAGGTTATCAGAATGTATCTGAACACCCCCAGCTCAAGCTTAAATCCCACCTAACCAAGCTGTTAGTATTAAAACCTATTGGACTTTGAGAAAGAATTACAAAAGGTTGGGCTTCGTTCAAATTGCAACAGAACAAACTACAGTATTTAACTACACATTTAACAGGTGTTCCTCCTTGGAGGGATAATAATCCCCCCCTTTGGAGGGATAATAATCCCTCCAAAAAACCAAAAACAATAATTAAATTGGTCATTTTCAATCTACGACTGTTTGTGGGACATTGCTGTGCGCAATTGGCTGCCGCGTTCGCCCACAAATATACAGTCAATTCACTTTACAGTGTGTTCTGTGAAGCGCTTTGGGACGTCCTCCCGACGTGAAAAGCGCTATATCAAATTCAAGGATTATTATTATTATTATTATATTATTATGTTCCTGGGGGTAAAGCGAAACTGTGACCATACTTTCAGTTGGTGCTTCCTTATGACGTAAACCTATATCAATACTTTAAACTATTCCATTCCACTAAAAATAAAATGAGTTGAAGAAGGCAATCATACAAAGGGGACTCGGCAATACCCGACTCATGCTGCCCTTCCCCAATGTTTTCTCACGATCTCCAAGAAGACATTTTCCAGCAAAGCTTCAAGAGGTTCCTAACCTCTGGGAAAAAAAACAAGCTGCTCCACCCAACTATACTCACCACGCACGTCAAAAGGAAAGTGCAAGTCTTTGGGTCTGAGCCCGACACAGCAGGCACCTTTGTGACGCTGAAGCCAGATTACATGAGGGCCAAATGACAAGACAGCACGATGGTCAAAAAAGATGAATAAGGCAGAGCGACGAAGCATTAATACTCAAGCTGTGCTTGAGATTGATTCCCGCACTGCTCGGTTCCCAATATTAACCATCCTGAGTGTGGAGATGGCAAGGAAGCAGCAGGCAAGCAAATTCAAAGAATGAGTGTCACATCTGGACAATCTGTAGAGCCATCAGGGAGCTGACTATACAGGACAAGGGCACCAGTCCATGAGCAGCCTGACTGCTCTCTCTCTCTCTCTCGACAGCCGAGTTACCAGGGGCCAGCAGACTGAGAGCTAATTTACCTTAAAAAGGGGAAATTTTAAAATGGGAAAAAAAGGAGACAAGTAAAGATAAACAGATGGAAATGCTAAATGCTGACAACCAAGAGAAAGGAGGCGGAAACATTTATTCCCAAAAGGACTGACAACTTAGTTTAATCTGTCTAATATGCTTCTTTGTTCAGTGTAGGCTGAACTGTCTTTAACCTTCAGTAGTTTATTCTTTATTGAAATGTTGACATAAAGTCTAGCTTTAGTCTGCCATATTCAGTGAAGTGGC